AGGGCTTAGGGTTTGTTGGTTTCTGGGTCTAGGGTTTATAGGGTTTTGGGGTTGGGTGCTCTTTGGAATTGGTGGTGGGGGGGGATTTAGGGGATTCAGGGGATTTTAGGCATTTAGGGTTAAGGGTATTTAGGAGTTTAGGGGGTTTGGGGTTGAAGGTTTGAAACGTAATAGCACATGCGGGATTATCAGCAGAATTCATTATTATGGTTCCATGAGTGCTTTCAGGATTCATGTCTTTGCCATGATGACAACACTGCCGGAGATTATTAACGTAAGTACATTAAAATGTGTCTAAGTGCGCTCGTTCTTCAGTTCGTATACTACAGGGTTTAGGTTCTACTAGACTGTTGAGGGTTTACAGCAACTCAGTCCGGTTGACTTCTTTCCGTCTTCATATTATAAGGGCACACGTCAACATGTTTTGGTAACATCGACCCTAGAAATTACAGTTACTGCTCTAATGAGTAAACAAATCGTTTCGCCTCAGAAAGGCCCGAGAGTGCTCGGTATGGCTCAAGTTCTTTGGGTTGAGAGCAGCGGCTCAATGCGGATACCCTAGTCCCTAAACCCTATCAGCGCAGATGCAGGTTCAGTTGTGTGAGTTTTGCTGTTTGGATCGGAGCTCGCGGGCCCAGAAGGAAGGAAATAAATACCAATATAGTTAGTGTTGTAAACTGTAGTATAGTATAGTCCAGTCTAGTATAGTATAGCATAGTATCGTATAGTACAACATTGTATACTATAGTATGGCTTTCTTCTTGATATATACTTAATAGCGTGTAGAAACTATAGTATAATTGTACTTAAGTAGTATAGTAGACAGTAGTGTATTAATACCCCTTTATGGCTCTTATAGAGGTACCTATTCATAAATACTTTTCAGAGCCCTAAAACTGCAACCCAGTATAGTATAGTACGACTGGTTCCAAGAGCTGAGGCGAGTCGACGATGAGTTGACGCATCTCCTCTCCGAGGGCAACGTGTTGACACTTCTCAGACAGGTGGGTGCTTAGGGTCCTTGGCCTCGAGTTTCGGGGTTTGGGGTGTGGTTTTAGGGTGTAGCGTTTAGAGTTTTGCTCTTCGCTAGCCTTTTTTGTGCTTTAAGTATTCAAGGTGATGTGGAGTCAGCAACAGGTTTGCTGCGGCTTGTGTGTAACGCTGAGGACCCTAACCCCCCAAGAGCAGAAGAAGCCACAGGTGGTCGGCACAGGGGGCGTGTTGGAGACGCGTTGCATGGCAATGTTGCGTGCTGACGACTGGGCTTTGCTGGAGCAACAGAAGGACAAGCTGTTCCTGCTGGCAAAGGACAGACCCCAAACCCTAACCCTCATTAGGCTCTGAGGACTCATATTTAAAAGCTTTTGGGCCCAAAGACCATAGTGTATAAGGCTTTTGGGCTATTTTGAGCCTTAGGGTAAGTAGTGTCAAGCATTGTTCGGATCGCCTGTTGCACTTTCGCTTTTCAAAGTGGAAACCGAGGGACCCTTAATGGGGACCCCTACCCTATAATGGGCTATATAATGGGTATATAGCTATATGAAGGGTATATAGCTAGGGGTCCTTATTAAGGGTCCCTCCTTTTACCCTTGGAGCTTTGTTAAGTATTAAGGGTAGTGCTTGCTCCTTGCCGGGGTGTCCAGACGCATGTGCAGCAAAACGTGCTGTGTGATTTTGCTGACCGCATGTGCAGCGGAAGCAGTGCTTCTGGAAGTGTTTTCTAAAGACGTACAGACCTTAGCCCGGAAACTTAACACCCTAAACCCCTAAACCCCTGATCCCTAAACACCTAAACCCTAAACCCCTAACCCTAAACCCCTAAACCCTAAACCCCTAAAACCCTAAAGCCTAAACCCCTAAACCCCTAAACCCTTGCATGTGAGAGCCGGCGGTTCCGAGTGCCAGGTTGGAGAAAGTGAGATCCGAGGGAAGTCTTTAGAAGTCAAGTGGACGGCAGAAGCTGTGCAAGCAAGTTTCAAGCCCGAGACAGCAGGATTTTCAGTTACACTTTTGCGTCTCCGTTCCTTCTCCCTATCTTGGTCCGTTTTGGCCTCCTGTCCTCCTTTCTTGACTGCTGTTCTGCTTGCTGCTGCCCTGCTTATACCCTCCAGATCCCAGAATTTTTTGTTTTCAAACATCGCTTCTCCGAGGCGCTCTCCAGACAGCCGACTCGCAAGCAATCATCTCAAAACCCGATGAGTCTTTGAACACTAAAGGCCCCCAGTCAACCCTAAGCCCTAAACCGTGCATTTTCACACCAACTGCGCCCCTATAACCCTAAACCCACTTCCTTCAATCGTTCAGTTCTGTTCGCAGGAGGATGGTGCTCTTTCAGCAAGATCCCGGGCTTGGCGCAGGAGTTTGGGGGTGTAGCAGGTGAGGGAGTTAATGTAGGTGCCTTGGTGATTACGGGGTTCTTTATTTTAGTTATAGTATACTATGTCCCCAAACCCTATTCGAATAACTAAGGACCCCCCTATATTACCTCCTTCCCATCATTGCTATCAGCGCATTTATTCGTAGGTCATAGCATTTGGTTGATTGTCCTGAAGGTCCGTGGCAATGATGTTGCGCGGGCTCTTGCATTTAGGGCATGCAGCGTTTGCTGCAGACGTCCTAAAACCTTAATATCTGAAGCTTGAACCCCCAACACATGCATAGGGTCATTGAGACTCGGATATAGAATGTCAACATATACATAAATAGTATGTATACACATATCTATATACATATGTATACATATATATATATATAACATATACTGTATGCTTCCATTCACAACTTTAACAAAGTCATATTCAGAATATACTTTGTTTATGCTCACCAAAAGCGATAACCCCAAACCCTAAACCTCTACAGCCTAAACCGTATACACTCTACTTAAGGAATGGTGGAGCTCTTTGTGGAAGCGACCGGCTCGTGGCGTGCAGCTAAGCGTGCTCGGACCGCTCAATCCTCGGACTCAAGTTGGTGGTCGTATAATGATCCTAGTCTCATAGGAGGCCAAAAGGGTTTTAGCCTATGGGGGTTTAGTAGGGCTTAGGGTTCCCGTAGTAGGGTGCATTTTAAGGAATCCATACCCCAAGCATCTTAAACCCCCCTTTTGGCCTCCCATCATAGTCTGCACATCAGTATCCTTTTGCCCTTTTCATTTTGGGGTGGCAGGATACCCTTATTGTCAAGACGTTTCTGGAACCTAGGACGCTTAGCAGCTGAATGGGTATATACACTTGACACCTTTTTGCATAGTTATACTCCGCATAAAACTCAAAGTCTATACTGTTTTGGGGTTACCTATAGTCTCCATTGTAGTTCCTTTTTTTGTTAACCAAAATCTCTTTTATAGGGTCCTAACCATAAAACTGGTTAACCAAAAAAAGGAACTACAATGGAGACTATAGGTATGAACTCAACACGTGAGGATTGGGATTGGCACTACTCCTGACGAAAGGACCTGTCCACTGGGATCTCATGATGGCAAGACCCAGACCTTCCAAAATCCCTTATTTAAGGAATATACCTTAGTTCATATTTGGGATCCTATTATAATTTCAGGTATATTCCTTAATTAAGGGATTTTGGAAGGTCTGGGGATCTTATGTATACAGAAACGCCGAGTTTCGGCCACGTAGGATTGAGGTCGAAATTGGGTCCAGCTCCCACTCAATAACTGTCGAATAAGAATGAAAACATGTTGTTAATGACAGTTAGTATTTCGTCTATATAGATAGTTAGATATGTTAGGCCTTAGTCGGAGCTCTGGTATAGACGGTTACTGTGTGGGAGCAAGCCAGGTCGAAGTCTCACACCTGGTAGCCGCGAAGGAGACTGATAACTTTTCCTCGGTCTCCAGCGTCGGAATTTTTGACCGGCTACTGGGTATGGCTTTCCGAGGGCTTCAGCGGGTTTATGGTCTAGGTAGGGTTTAGGCAGGGTTTAGGGTTTGGGTTTAGGGTTTTCCGGTTGCTCGACTGCCCTTCCCCCACATCATGGTCTTCCTGGTGTTTGCATCAGCCACTGCTGCGAGTTCTGTATCAGCACCACCCGCCGAGCGTCATTGCCCTACACCCTAAACCCTATACCGTATACCCTAAACCCTAATCTAACGTCAGACGTACCACACTCTGTGAGACCTCTAGTGCCCTTTTCGGTTCAGATGTCGAGTTGCGTTCCCAGTACCTCAGACATGACCTGGACGCTTTAAAGCCTACATGTTTGAGGACTTCTATAAGGGAAATCACTTTAAGAAACCCTAAAAAGGTAGGTTCTTTAGGGTTCATGTAGGCCTATACTCATGACTATGGCTTCGGAACTGCATGCGTGCGGTTGCTGCGGCCAGCATCGATGTTTCAAGCAAGGGCCTTGCAGAGGAAATAAGGCAAAGCATCCGAACAGGCCAAAAGCGTACCTCTTTTGCCCCGGAGACGTTTTGGGTTGAGGGCTTCGTCTTAAGATTTGAGTACCATAGGGGCCTACATAACTAACCACCTATACTATTTTAGGGGGTTCCTTGTTCTAATTATAGGATAAAATACCCCAAAGCCCTACCCTAATTATTATGGCCCGTACATTATGTTGTTGTCGCCGTTCCTGCGCCTCTTCCTGTAGAGGAAGCCGACTTGATTTCAGCCCTACACTTCACTGGTCTGGGGAGTTCATTCGTTTCATTTTCCAACTCCAAGGCATTTGCAAACGGAGTATTCTCAACGAACAGTTTATTAACACGTCAAGCGTTTCTCTAAGCTATCAATTTCCCTAACCTTAGACCCTTAACCCCTAAACCGTGGCTCCAAGGGTTATTGTTAAACATACTTTTTCACTCATAGGGATCCTTAGGGGTGTAGGGGGAGGGGGGGTAGGGGGCCTTAAGGCCCATAATAAGGACTAATAAGGCCTATTTAAGGAAATATAGTCCCCTACGCCCCTCCCCCCTACACCCCTAATGATCCCTATGATGTTTGGTTCTAAAGGTGCTAAGGCCTGAGCATTGACCCTCTCAGGCGTGGTGCCTTCGCTAAGCGATGCTCGGCAGAGGCATCTTCGTAGTGTGGAAGGCCTGAGGGCATTTGTTGGGGGGCGTCAGGGATTGGCCTGAAACCTACCTGGGGATCCCAAAACGTACGGTTTAAGGGTTAATTATACCCTCTAATTAAGAGGTCATATCCTACTGTTTTGTAGGGTTTGGGGATGCAGGTAAAGCCGTATCATTGTTGAGTTCTTTCGCTTCAGCGTTGAAGGTTTTACAGTGACGGGTGGAGAGACTTCGGCTTACCCCCGCGTTCCTCCGCGCCTTTGCTTTCCAAAGCAGTGAATAGGCAAGTGCTTATCCCACAGGGTCCCAGGTACTGTTATGGGGAATACCTCCCCAAATCATAATAGTAGTCCTAACATAGAAACCCTACATTCTACTATATCAGTACTTTGGACCCTTTGGGTCTTTCAAATCCCGAACACTCGATCCCAGTCTCTCGAGCGGGCAAGCTCTGAGAATGTCTGAGACGTAGGTTCAACTTCTCATTCTGAAGCTGAGGCCTTACAGCCCTACGGCAATATCCGACGGTGTGGGATGCGCTGAAACCCTGCCGACCCAATCTTACAAGTTTAAGATAGTTCAACGCACGGCAAGTTTTGCAGGGGCTTGGTCTATTCCGGCGAAAGCCACTACATGGATCGCACCAGCTGCCATGCCAAGCAGCGAGCGCCGCAGATGCGATTATGAAGAACCCGAACTAACATCTACACGAGAGTTGGTGTTGCGGTTCTCGGGTTATGCTCGAACCTTCAGTGCCACTGTGAATATGCGCTGCTGCTGCTGCTCCTCCTCCTCCTCCTCCTACTCTTACTGCTACCGCTACGGCTACTGCTACCGCTCTGCTACTGCTACTGCTACTCCTCCTCCTCCTCCTACTACTACTACTACTACCACTACTACTACTACTACTACTACTACTACTACTACTACTACTACTACTACTACTACTACTACTACTACTACTACTACCACTACCACTACCACTACTACTACTACTACTACTACTACTACTACTACTACTACTACTACTACTACTACTACTTCTTCTACAGCTGCTACTACTACTACTACTACTACTACTACTACAGCTGCAACTTTAACTCCAGTTGTTTCTCCGGCTGCGCAGAGCCAGAGTCTGCCAGGGCAGGACTTCCCAGCAGCAGCTAAAGCCCTACACGCCCTGGGCCCTAGGTCCTATATTCCTGAGGTCCCAAACCGCGAGCCCTGGAAGCCTAAAGCCCCATAGGCCTCAAAACCGAAAGCCCTGAAGTTAACCCCTAAACCCTGAACCCCTAAACCTTACAAACCCTAGAAAGCCTAAACCCTATAAACCCTATAGACCCTAAAGTCGTCAGAAGGTATTTCGCTGCCTACCGCGCCCAAAGTGGTGCACTGCTCCTGGCGAGGTCTCCCAGACCTGCGAGTCGATGGAATTTCGGGTATTGGTAAAATGGGATACTACTTAAAGGATCATGGGACTTAGTAAGTAGGGTTATAAGTAGGTTATAATTAGGATAACCCCACTTAGGGGACTTATAACCCCAGTTATAACCTACTTACTAAGTCCCATGATCCTCCAAGTAAGGGATTTATAGGGGTACTACAATATAGGGGCCTTAATAATTAGAATAGGGTTCCTGTAAAGGGTTACTATAAGGCATCTATAGAGGTACTATAACATGGGGGCCTGAATAATTGGAACTGGGTTCCTTTAAAGTGGTCTTTTAGGGGTTACTAGAAGGGTACTATAGTATATATATATATATATATATATACAGGGGCCTTAAAATTAGAATAGGGTTTGGGGGTATATTATACTACAGTTATAATAAGAAGCCCCCAAAATAGTAAGGCTCCCCCACAGAAGTTCTCGTACTGAGTGTCATACGATTCTGGGGACCTAAACATGGACTTTACCTAAAAAACTACCCGCATGTTCTTTGTCGCACTGAGGGTTTAGGGTTGAGGGTTGAGTCTTTTTTGGGCTTTGGAGGTGCCTGCTTAAAGCTGAATAAGAGCGATGGCACCATTGTTTGCGAAGGGGAGGTTGGAGGCCGCGTACGCAAAACCCTAACTTGAAGAGGGTTTGTTTCTATTTTCTCGAAGCTTCGATCCCCTTCGTAGACAACTGGTCATTCGTTCGAGTGATTCGGAGGGCTCTGCTGGGCTAGAGATGCAGGGGCTTCTCTACGCGGGGGCTGAAGGTTGTAGGTATGTAGAGCTCTTCTAGATCTTCATGGGAGTGTTACGTTTGGGCTGGTTTAACGATTTTTCAGAGTGTGAGCTGCTGAGCGCAGATTAGGTAGTGACTGGGGTTTAAGGTTTAAGATTCGTGGTCTTTGGATTTCGGTTCGAATGAGATCCCCCAGCTAAGCCCCTCTAAAACCAGCCCAGAGCCGTTCATCCCGCCCCAGGGCAAGCAGCCCAAAGCTGAGTGGCCCTGCATAAACCCCAAACCTATGACCGTCTAGTTCTTAGTAGGGAATGGGGGATTGGATCCCTATGAAAGTCCCTCAAGGTCCTTCAAAGTAGTCCCAATAACCCATTCCCCCACTCGCTACTAAGAACCAGGCAGATGAGCCCCAAACCCGATGAGCTCCTGGAGCCGTAAACCCCACCTAAAACACTTGTAACGTGGGTGAAGTAATCTGGCCCAACACCTCGAAAAGGAGGATATTCTACATACTCTCTGGGGGTCCAGATAAACCCCAAAGCCCAAGACCCCGAAACCCCAAAAACCCTAAACCCGAAAAACCCTAAACCCTAGAAACCCTACACCCCTTACCCCGATGAGCTGCAAGCCCTAAGCCTAAACTCCGACAAACCGAGGCGCCAGGACGAGGGGAGCGATTTCTGCGGCTTCCGCAGCTTCCCGTGGCCTGACCAAGGACTTGGGGTTTTGGGGCGAAGACGGCGTCAGGGTTCAGGGGTGGTGGGGGGTGTTAGGGTGTGCGTGGGGATTCGGGTGTAGGGTTTCAGAAAGGGTCCCGTCAAGTGATTCTAGTATTCTAGTGCACTCCGTACCAAATCCAGGTTCCATTCTGGTTATGCACACTCCATGCACTTTTGGAAGTCCGACTGCGCCGCAGCTGAAGCACAACCTTCAGCCAACCCGGATAAATGCATTGAGCAAAAGGTGTTGGATTAAACTAAACTCCAAGCCTTAGGCCAGACACCACAACCCCTAAACCACTCAAGGCCAGTGCATCCTAAACCGTTGAGCTCTAAATCTTCGAACCCTTCAGAATTCAGAATATGGCACCTTGGCATTCGTCTAACTCAGCCAAACATGACCCTGATCGGATCATGCATTTTATTCAAGTTTAAGCACCGTAATGCTTGAACCCCAAGCTTTAAACCTTGCCCAAATCTTGAATCCCACCGAACTGTACTACACACTCCGAGCCTTGCAAAACCCACATACTCGTACAGTCTTATCGTCCATCGGCATGTATCACAAGCCCTTTTAAAAACCATATGGCACCCTACTAACACGCTTCAATGGACCCAAAGACCTTATGGAACCATTATAAGCCCCGTTTATGAACCCAGAGCACGAAACGAGGTGGAGAGTTGCCAACTTGCTGAAGCGCAAGCCTTTGAAGAGTTGACTTGGTACGAGGACCGCGTCGCTCCACCTTAGAGTTTAGGATTTATGTGATGTACGGGCCTGAATTGATTGAATAGTAGTGTTATCTAGATCATCTCCCTGGGCTTCTTGCTGCAATTGCATCAAGCATGCGGCTTAATAAGATGGTTTAGGGTTTAGGAGTACGTTTTTGGGGTTTAGGGTTTAGGGCTAGCCTTAGCTCGCTTGCTCAATGCTCACGTGGAAGGACATCGAGCCTCCTCTGCAACAGCGCCGATTGTTGCGCTTTGCAATCGGGGCTGCAGGACGTGGCCTTCGCTGAGGGACATGTTGGGGGACGAAGCGGCAGAGCTTACTTGGAGGGTCATGGGACGTAGTAAGTAAGGTTATAAGTACCTTAACTGGGGTTATAAGTATAGTTCCCCTAATTATAACCCTGGTTACTAAGTCCCTGATCCTTTAAGTAGGGCAGCACGGAACTTTAGAGCTTCAGGGTTTGGGGTTCAGGGCGTACTGTCGTGACAAGAATGATCCTGCTTCTTACCGTCTGCATTGAAATCCAATAACTTCTTTCTGGTGGCCAAGACCACCAGTTGCAGGTGCCGAACTTTGTCACGTTTATGGTTGTATTGGGAGTGTAGGGTTGTGGAATTCTGGGTTTGCATTGGTTGGGTGGTAGGATGACAGCAAAGTCTGGTCCCGGCTGGGCCCCTAAACCCTAAACCGTGGCCGTATCTAAGCATCCTCAATACCAGCTTTGCCCTGAACTGCGGCTCCTTCGTCCCTCCCTAAGCCCTGAAACCTCAGCCCTAAACCCTGAACCTCGTGAGGGTTCCTCATTATGAGTTCCTTATCTGAGTCCTCAAAACATGTAGGCTTTAGAGTGTCCAGGTAAACTTGAACCCTGAACCCTAATGAATCCTAACCGCTTAACCCTGGACCCTACTAAATCCTAAACGGTGAACCCTGTACCCCGAAACTCAGCAGTTTCCGAAAATAGGCGATCCTAATATAGTACCCTAAAGTACTATGCTAGGATCCTGGCTATAAGGACCCTAAAATAAGGTACCCCCGAATTTTCCGAAACTCCCATGTGGCAGTAGTAATAGTTGGTAACCCTAGGCATTTCAGGACTCATTTAGTAAGGCTTTTGGGCCAAAACGCCATACTATATACGGCTTTTGGGCTATTTCGATGCCCAGGGTAACGTGGCAGGAACTCTGGCTGGCTAGTACTAGGATCCTTACTATACGGACCCTAAGATAAGGTACCCCCCAATTTTCGGAAACTCCCATGTGGCAGGAACTCTGGCTGGTTTCGTCTTTTACATCACCGTCGATTGCGGAGGCGACTCTGCGCCTCGGCTCAGTTGGGGCGAGGCTGAGCCCAGAGACTTAAAGGGTCCTTTACCCGTAGGCTCTGAGGACTCACATTTTAAGGCTTTTGGGCCAAACACCATAGGGCTATTTTGAGCCTTAGGGTTAGTCCTTTACAAGGTGGCAATTTGGGAAACCTTTTTAGTTCCCCTATATGGTTCCTACAGAGGCATCCATTCATAAATACTTTTCAGAGCCCCAAAACTGCAACCCAGTTTAGTGAAGAAGTATATGCCTTAAATCATAGAAGGATCCCTAATATGATTTAGGGTATGATCCTTAATTAAGGGATAACGATTGGAGTCTCTGGGCCGGGTGTAGGGTTGAGGTGTTATTAGGGCTTAGGGTTTCATTCGAAGGGGTTTAGAGTGTAGGATTGAGGCTCTAGTGGTCGGGTTTCATCAGGGTTTGGGGTTTAGGATGTAGGGTTGAGGCTTTAGGGTTTTGGGTTTCGGGGCATGGTTTAGGATTTAAGGTTTACTTGTAGCCTTGCTGTCTAAGTTCTCTGATCCTGATCCTCCATATGGAAGCCACAATGTTCCAGTGGCAACAAGAATCTTAAGCTCCACAAACTCTGACAACCCAGGCTATTGTCAGTTCGGCGTGTGCCCAAAGCCACTGGGCTAATCCCTTCTGCCGTGCCAGGATCTCAGTGAATTTTCAGTTCCTGGGCTCGGAGTGCAGGGAAGTGGGGGTTCGTTGGAAAGCCTACTGTAGGGTAAGGGGCCTATTCCCATCCATCCTGTGCAGTCCAGAAGAGCATGTATGCCACGAACTGAAGGAGCGTTTCAATTGTGAAATTCTGGGTAGCTTACAACTCGTGATACTGACGCTACCTGTTCGTATAGCAAAGCTCAGATGTTTGTCTGTACATGGTCCCAAGGCGATGCCAATTACATTGGCTGTTGGGGTTTCGGGTTTAGGATCGGGCGCAGACGAACACTGCAAAACAGATTCCACCCAAGCACAGGCGAACGCAGTCAAGCGCATTCTGAAACAGAACAGCAAGCTATAAGCATGTCGTATAAGTGCAGTTAGTTGGTTTATAGCCCCACGTACTGTGTCCCATGCCAGCTGCCGTGTCCCATGCCAGCGAAACAGTTTCGAACCGGCGCCCAGGTTGCTGAACCCGTGGCCGTGAGCAGCGGGGATGAAGTCCTTGTGAACACCGAGGCGGGGCATGGCGTAGACGGATAGATGGATAGAGAGATAGGTAGACAGATAGACATTCAAACAAACGGACAGATTGACAGATAGATAGGTAGATGGATAGGTGGCTGGTCGACTGGTCGATAGGTCGATTGTTGGATAAGTAGATAGGTATATGTGGGGGGATGGATAGATAAACAGATACCTAGGATGGGCGAATGAATGCAGGGACTCTCATGCACATGCTTGAACTCAGAATATATAGCGGCAAACCCAGGCAGGACAACTCAACCCCCAAGGTTTTGGGGCTCAGGGTTAAAAGACTTGTAAGATTTAGGGGGCTCGGGGTATGTAGGGTCTGAGGGCAAGGTTTTTGGGTTCCCTTTTTTTTTTTTTCGGATTCAGGGTTCATGATTCCAGCGAAGCAGATTCTGGAGAGCGTGCCGCAGACATTTGGAGGGTGGTATTTGCTTTCCAAGCTGTCGCGATAGGCCGGGGAGGGCTGGGTTTAGGGTTGGATTGGAACAACACCCGGAGCTTGAAGAAGCTAAGGCCTTCGAGCCTGGAAGCATTTCAACACGCGAAGACCTCGAAGCTTTGGGTATGCGATTCGTTCTAGCCCCTCGCCGCTGAAGCCAAGCAAAATTGAGACGCACAGCCCTGAGACGCTAAATCGTACTAGGCAATGTTGCAATAGAGTTGCAGCACCGATGTCGGGATCGTGTTTCTTTCTGCAGGGTGTCTTTCTCGTTCGAGGTGTGTCACGTGCTGCGCTGAGGTTTATCGGCGGGATTTGCCTCGCATTAAGGTTTTGTAGGCATTTAAGAAGGCCGCGTCGCGGTTCTCGGCTGCACGATAGACTGTAGTAGCCGGAAGCATCAAAGCTGGCACGAGGGCCTGCAGCAGGAACACAGCAGTAAACCCTAAACCAATCATCCGACTCCAATCAGACTCTTAACCACGTTCAAACCCTAAGCCCCTAGCCTTACACCTCAAACCATAAACACCAACCCCTTCAAACCCTAAGCCCTTAGCCTTACACCTCAGAGCATAGACCAGGATTAGAAATCGTCCCTACACCAGGATTTGAAATCGTTCCCGTGCAAACCCCGAGTGCGCAGCGACCCTGCGATCGCCAGCCCAAGCTCCGGCCCCGAGCAAAGGACTTCAGCTCTATGACTGAAGCTTCCCGAAGCTCCCTAAAACAAACCCTAAGTAATTAGATCCTCGTCCCTACACCCGAAGCTCGATGCCCTCAACCTACAGCTCCATCTTGGCTTAACCTGAACCCCTTCAAACCTACAACTCACAAGCCCTGCTAAGCCGAAGGTGGACCTTTCTGGTGCAGCAGCCCGCTATGCCGTGGTAGCCTGGTACCTTGGCTGTCTTGGCTCACAAAGGGCGTAGGGTTTGGTGCCCTTGGTTGGTGGAGTACTTTTTCAGGATTCTGTGAATGAATGGTACTCTTGCTAGAAGGTTTAAGATAGGCCTGAGGGTTTGGGATTCAGGGTTCAGGGTTTTGGGCTCGTGCATGAACATACGGGAAGGAAGAAGCATCATCCGCAAGTGGATGTGGGTGCATATAAGTACAAATACATACATGCATGCATGCATATTTACATATGTTATTCAATCGTTTTTATGTTTTTACACCAGGCGCCTACTGTCCATATGCATATACAGACACAAATCGGTGTATGCAAACAAACATACACAGATTGGTCCATCTGGAGTCGCTTTCTCGGCAGACAGCGACAGTAATGATGGCGTCTGCAATTATTCTGCAATTCTGCGTCCTCCCGACTCGGCAAATTCCATGATGTTCGCGGTGCATCGTTCAGAAAGTTCGGGGCTGGAATGCTCCGGCAAGATTGAGGTTCTTCCAAGTAGTCCGGCAAGATGCCATGCCCCCGGCACTGATGGTAGTCCTGTGGGGTTTTGCTTAGGTTTATCAAAACAACCATGTGCTACCCTGAGGGTCCAAAGAACCCGGTTTGAGATAGTAGTTATGTAAGTTGTTAGTTTGAAGAGTATATGATAATTGGGTACTTGGACCCTTAGGGTTAGGTCTAGAGACCCCGCCCCGACGAGGCCTGCAACGGTGTATGTTTGTGTTGATTTCGGGTGTTACAGGGGGAGCCATACTCTTCTCGCAGTACGGGTTTAGGGTCAAGGGTTTTCGCGCTTTTCGATGCGAGGTGCCCGGAAGCCATTTACTAGAGCCCGTTCAGTTGCAGTTACATAGGAGACTTCGATTTCGGTCGGCGTGCAGAAAGATCATGAGTCCCGAGCCAGGCAATCCAATTTTCCAACTTCGGTATGTTTGGCTAAACCGCAGAGCTACGTGACGGTTCGATGCAGGCGATTTACAGGCCATATTTCGTAGGATAGTAAAGCACCGCATATTGGAGTACTTCATATTTCAGTACGTATTTTAGGTACATTAATCTCAGACTATATTATAGACTCCCTCCTTGAATTCCGAGGCTTTCTCGTCCTGGCCTCTTGTCTGCCACGATGGACTTCGGATCACAGGGTCCTTGTGATTCGGGGGATTGAACAGTTCTTATTACTATTCTCGGTTCCCTGGGGTGTCTTAGCAGAAGTACTTGTGGTATTGGGCTCTTGATACTATTCACTCTTCCATGGGGTGTCTTAGCAGGTATTGGGTACCATAGTATACCATGCCAAAACGTTCATGTTCCAATCATTAGGGCCCCTATACTCGGCCTAGGAGTGTTTGGGATATGAAAGACTACCCCTCCTCTGCAAGACTCTGTGAACGTTGTACCAAACCTTAGCAAATAGAGCCAATTTAAGGGCACATTTTAACTTCGTCAGAGTTGGGCAACATGTTACATTGTGACGTGCACCTAAACCCAATAAGGAATACAGATAGAGTTTTTTAAAACGATTGTCCCAGCCATGAACTGGTTAAAGAAGCCCCAAACTCTAAGAGCTAAACCCGAAGCCCGTACACGAAACTCCTCTCCTCAAACCCTAAACCCTGTACGCTAAACCCTCCCTTAATCCCAAAGAACCTACATTTTTAAGGACGTATATAAAGACCCTAAACCCCTAATCCCCAACAGTCTTGAGGCCATGCGAAGGAGCTGCTCCTGCCGCGGACGGAGTTCACTTGATGTCGACGCACTCGCCGCTTGCGGTGTACGAAGTACCACGTACAGAGTTCCTGGGTGTACTATAGGGGCCTAAATAAATCCCTATACTGTTTGGGGTTCCATATTACAACTATAGTAATAAACCCCCAAGCCCTAGTCTAACTGCTAAGGCCCCTGTATTGCAGTACAGATTCGACCAACCTAAGAAGCCCTGGAGGCCGATAACGATAAGCTCCCCACGGACAGGTGTTGAGCTCTCCGGCCGTGGGCTGGTGGATGCCGAAGGCAAGCATTGAACATTTCCTACAGCCAGGAAGTTAAGGGTTTAGGGCAATTCTGCCGTGAATAATCACCAATATAGTTGCACTATGACACTCCCTAACTATGAAGGCCTCCGTATTAGGGCTTTCCAAACACATGCAGATCCCGGGGAGGGGGTGGGGGGGGCGCAATCATTTCTCGTCATCACGCCGAAGTTGCCTTGATTTAGTGCCCGGATTGGGGCTCAGGGTTTTGAATGCAGAATTCAGGGTTCAGGCTTTAGGGTTTAGGGCTTGGGCCTTGCAACTCGTTGCCATCTGTCAGACACATCAACATTAACGGCTCAATCCCATTTTTTTTGGCTCAATCGCATATTATTTGGTTCAAAGCCGGGCCCCCCCTGCCATGGACGGAGCCCAAAACCACATTCTAAGTATCAAGGGCCCTACTACATCATAGAACACTCATAGTAACTCTTACAGATCCCCTTTCAAGGATCCCTTCAAATATATGGAGCCCAAAACCCGAATCTAACTATTAAGGGCCTTACATCCCAGAACCCTATTGTAGATCCCTGATGGAACCCTTTAAAGAACCCCCTACAGGAACCCCCAAAACCCCGTTCTAATTATTGAGGGCCCTACATTACCAGGACTGCCAGATCGTCCTCGACGCGCTGCGAGAGTTTCACGGAGCTCTGACCCCATTTCCTCGGCGGAAAAGTATTGCATTGCAGGACGTTGAAGAGCCCATTACATATACACAGTTGGTCGACCTTAGTTGGATGGATGGATGGATGGACGGACGGACGGATGGATGGATGCATGGTAGAGAGAGACAGACAGAGAGAGGGAGAGAGGCCTGAACGCTGCCTCTTCCTCCTACCCGGAAGAGAGAGAGAGAGAGAGAGAGAGAGAGAGAGAGAGAGAGAGAGCCAGAGGGAGAGGGAAGAACTTGATGCGGGTCAGAGACTCGACTCCCAAAGCAGCAGTCGCGCGGTAGTTAAGGTGTCGGGTTTACAGGGCTACTTGATGGTTTAGGGCTTGGGGTTAATGGTTTGGGGCTCAGGGCCTTGGCATGGAGTTTTGGGTTTAGGGCATATTGTTGCGGTAGGGCTTACGGCCTAAGCCTAAATACAAGGTTGCTTTGTATACGGAGCCCGAAACGAGAGGCCTACAAAGAAAGGACGAAGAACTGTTCCAAAGAGCAGATCCTGGAAGAAACGACCCAATACTGTAGTTAATAGGGCTTGAAAGGTGGGGTTAAGGAATCCCCCGAAACCATACAAATCCAATAACCTATGTACCCCTATTCCTAGTCTGAAGGGTTCCCAGCTTCTCATACCTTAACCCTACACCCAAACCCGATACCCTGTATCCTAAATCCTCAATCCTCCACACCCCCATCCCCAGTCTGAGGGCACAGGATCCTCAAACCCCTAAACCCTATACCCTAAACCCTCCCTTAACCCCAAAGAACCTACATTCTTAAGGACGTATATAAAGAAATCATAATAAGGAACCCTAAAAGGTAGGCTATTCAGGGTTAAGGTTAAGCCTATACACCCCTGAAGGTAGTAGCCTTGTCCTTTTTTCATGGTTCCCCCAAAAGAATAAACAGACCGGCTAGAAGACCTTCTTAAATAATTCCTACTAAGGGATATAGGTAGAGGGCTCTGTCTATTATTTCTAAAAGGACAAGGGTGGAAGGTCGAGGATCCTCAGCCCTGTTCCGCAGCCATGACAGCCTCAGCGCACCGAAGGGTGCGAGAGCACTGGGTCGAGGAGGCCCCGGCTTTCCCCATGCACTTCAATTCCCAGAGAACACAACTTACCCAAGATTCCTCACAGACTCTCTCTCTCTCTCTCTCTCTCTCTCTCTCTCTCTCTCTCTCTCTGTATGTATGTGTATGTATGTATGTATATATATATATATAAGGGTATGTAGAAAAAGATCTGTGTATGTGCATACGTGCGCGTATGGGCAAGTTTTTTCTTTATAAGGGGATATGATCTTGAATTATACGGTTCTGTATGACTCTCGACTGGATTTGCCGCGTGGAGAAGTTCGGAGGGCAACTGACCCCTGTTAGCAAACCGTACGTCGTAATGAACTTGCTCAGCATTGGACAGTTGAAGGCATTTCTGCTGCTTTACGGTAAAGCGGAACTTAAAGCGGCATAGTATCGAGTAGCAGCAGCAATTCGCTGGCCTCGAAGATTCGTCCACAGGATCGTGGTAGCAGTCTCTGCCTTCGGGCTACGAGGAGAGGTGTCAGGTGGAATGCAACAGTACATCGTATTGCTGTAACATGCTTTCATATGCTAGCATGCTGGTCTTACTACCCATCGTTGCCACGGCTCCAACATCAACAACCAGGGTTAAAAAGCAACACCAGATGCTCCCAGACCTTCCAAAATCCCTTAATTAAGGAATATACCTTAAACCATATTAAGAATCCTACTATAATTTAAGGGATATTCCTTAATTAAGGGATGTTGGAAGGTCTGGGCTTCAAGGCCGGAGGCATGGTTTCGGAGGCCTTAGCTAGGCCCCCAGAGGTTTCCCCGTGCGACTGCTCGTTACTGACACTCGCCGGAGCAGGTGGGCCAATGAGTGCCTGCGCCCCAGCTGCTTGCACTTCGGAAGCCCATCACCTCCCAAGGGGGTGTATTTTGTGCTTGAACGGTAAGGATATGGTTTCTTGGAGGTGTCATCTTGTACTACTTCTTGAACAGTAAGGATCTGTTTTTTTGGGGGCTAGTCTGCACTACAAGTAGAATGTACAGGTGAGAGTAACCGATTATTCCGACCCCTGTAGCAGCTTCATTGCAGTGGTCTTGCGTGAGCGATAAGCTGGGTCGTTTGATTCTCTGGGGCCCCTATGCAGGGGTTCGGAAGTACCTTGAGAAGGCCCTGCTCATCTGGAGCTCCGGCTATCACCCCAAGGGTCCAAGTAGGCAATAAGCATATACTCTTCAAAATGCTAGCCTACCATGGCTACTAGTATCCTACATCTCCTACAGCCGAGTATCTAATTGTGTCCTTTGGACTCTTAGGGTACTGAGTGTGGATTTAAGCTCTGGAGTTATACGGTTCGGGGGTTGCCGGGCTGAAACATGGGCGAGAGCAGGATCGCGAGTCAGATTCAGGGTTGCAGGTGCGGGTTAGGGGCTTTAGGGTTTAGGGTAACAGATGCGGTTCAAGACCTGAGCCCCAAAACCTCAGACCCTAACACCAACCTACACCCATTCAGCCAGAGCGCTTCAATTGCTACTACAACACTCTCTATCAGGGATCAGAGGTGTAGAATTTTTTAAGTATACCCAGTCTAAAACCTTCAGCCAGAGCCCGCAAGCCCTAAACCCCTAAACCCTAAACCCCCAAACCATTGATAGGTCGCCTCGGGAGTGGACACGTCGCTGTATCCGGTGGCTGTCCTGATCGATGAGCTCAGGCCAGCCAAAATGGGTTTGGGAGTTTAGGGATTAGAAGGTTTAGCGGTTTAGGGAGTTTGGGGGGGTTTAATTACAGTCTATGGCTAATGAAAATGTTAACAATGTGCTACTCACAGTATCACTTCGATTTTATTCTTTGTTAGCATCCTTGCCGTTCTGAAATTCTATGTCTGAGGCTTAAGGGTTTCCTGTGCACTAGCGCCGCGGGCTGTCAAGTTAGCTTCCTGCATCCGGTAGCCTTTGTCCTTTTTGGGGGTGTTGGGGTGCTATAAGCCCTTCATGATCCCAGAAAGTAACCTTTATTCTGGTTGTAATAGGATACCGGACAAGCAAGGAGCGTTCTTCGTCAGCTGGTTTTTTCCGACAGATGACGACTCTCCGGTCGCCCTTGAACTTCTATTCGTTGGTCTTGCGAAATCCACGCGTCCAGTTCTTTTTGCGGATTCTGAGCTGGATCTACCCTGAAACAACGAAGATCCTCGTCCTTGATGATGATTCTGCTGATGGTAGGGATGATGATGATGATCACAACGACTATGGCAATGGATAGAGTTGTGATTTTGATGGATGGTGCTTGCTCGTTGTTGTTCCATGTCGTTCGTGAGCCTTAGCTGCCATTTGGGAGCTTCCGAAAATTGGGGGTACCTTATTCGGGGTCCTTATAATAAGGATAATACAATTTAGGGTGCTATGTTAGGGTCCCACATTTTCGGAAACTCCCATTTCTTGTTGAGCCCTCCCCCGCCCAAGCTTGGCACGAGTGCGAGGCATGACGATCTTGCACTGAGAGTCAATGCCGCACCTTGTATGCAGGTCATTTCGTCAGGGCGTGGTGTTTAGGGGGGCTTGTTTTCGTTGGGAAAATGCAATGAAGTATCCACTAGAGTACAGTAAGTAGCGCAGCGCAGTCTTGCTCCCATAATGGGTCTCAAAGCTGTTGCTCCAAGCGCCGCGGTCAGCGCTATCCATCTGATTTACGAAGAACTTCCTGAAATCAAGGGTTGCAGTGCCCGGCCATCTGTGCACATGCTTGCTGCTTTGAGTATGCAGTCTTCCTCACATGCAGTCTCACCGGCCTTTCTCGCATTGATGCTCGGTTTTTGAAGACTTGGATGGCAATACTACGAAAGCGGCTCTCTCTTCTGTAGGGTCCTTGATAATTAGGATCGGGTTTTGCCTTATGGAACCCCAAGGAACAGTGCAGCTAATCCTGGTGATGAGTTTATGAATGTAGGCCCAAGACGTCCTAGAACCCTTGTCTTAATTATGACACGGCCGGAGAGATCGGGCATTGTGTCATTCT